GCATTAAAGACAAAGGTAGCAGTATCTTTATATATTTAATTCTCTGGTAGAAAACAAAAGCATAAAACTAACATTCTCTTTGGCACAAAATTTATCTTTCTGATTATTAAATCTTTATTCTATAAGTTTAAAATTATAATACTGTAACAGCTGCTGTTCAAGGTTTAGAATAAGCAAAATCGCAAAAAAAATAAATGGTACTAGATATTACTTTATATTTGGTATACGGGGCTTCATAATGGTTTCCTGGTTTTCTTTCCTTGATGAGATTATCATTTTCATGAATCACTTATGGCTTTTTTATTTGTATCACTTAGAGTTCCAAACCCAGTACTTAAGAAACTTTAGATTAGTTTATCTGTCTCCGGGAAGTCTTTCTAAAATGTGCTTAGAAATACATTTCTAATGTATAAGATCATGAGTTTCCCTCAATATGATTAGACAGCAGTCAAAATAATCTCTAAACAAGACAATTTTATTTTAGACATCTTTTGACATCAGTAGACAGGTGTTATTCCTCATTCCTTTTTAAAACTGCATGCTATCCCATTTAACAGATGTACTATAATTTATTTAACAATCCCCATGTTGATATACATGTAAGTTCTTTCTTTCTTTTTTTTTTTTTTTTTTTTTTTTTTTTTTTTGCTATTTATTTATTGAAAAGTTGACATTTTTCCTGTAGATTTCTCTAGGATCTGAATTATGATGATTACATTCCTGACATGTTGTTCAGCATTTTCTTTTACTCCTTATGTTTTCTGTGAATTGGCAGCTAGATTTAGAGGCCTGATCAGATTTCAGTTTGATTTCTGGGAGAATTATCCTTAGCTGATGTTGTATAGTTCGGCTTGCTGGAGCATAACATCTAGTTGAATCCCTTGCTGTGATGTTAGCAGCAACTGAGGAGCATTATCTCTATCCATTAATTCAATAGGAATTGCAAAATCACTATATTCTAATTCTATCATACCTTCTTCATTTATTGGCTTGAATGAAAAGAAACTAATCTCCTCCACTATTTGGTTACCTCGGGTATAGTTCATATCAGAAATGCAGAATAAATAGTTCTTTCCCATTATTTTCCAGTTTTCAGAGTGATAAGTTGGTTCCCTAATATCCTTTAAAGGTGGTCAATGAAGGGTTTTTTTTTTTTAAAGTATCATTTTAAACTCATGAATTTAAACATATTTGATGTATTTCAGCCCATTATTTCTTTAGTGATTTTCAAATTTTCACCTCTCTGGCAGTCAGAGACTCTTTAAGTTGGCTCATGAGTGCTTTTGATAGCCTTTTGCTTTATGGTTTAACAAGATATTTCAAACTCATCTTGTCTTAGACCTGGAATTGGACATTTTCATAAGGGTACCTCGTTTCTTTTATGGGTAAACGTTATTTCAATATTTAGAATATAGCAGATGGGTGGGTGCATTTTTAGTAGATTGGTCAATTTAACAGTTTTTCTTCCATGGGGCCAAAGAAAGCATTGAATGCCTGAAATTAGAATCAGTATACTTGTGGATTTGTGGATTAATGTCTCTGTAAATTGGTTAAAAAAAGAAAAAGAAAGAAAAGAAAAAAGAAGGGAAGACATGCAAATAAGTCTTCTGTATCTTCTACTAAGATCTGATGAAAAAATTACTAGTTTAAGGTTCAAAAGACTAGCTTCAAGGCTTAGGTACTTCTTTGGTATTAAGTAAGTCATTTTACTATTCTGAGTCATACATAATTTCTTCTACTTCAAAACAGAGATAATATTATCTACCACAGCTTTTATGAGGACCAGTACTGAAAGTACTTGATAATAATAGCTAACATTTTCTAGGGGGTTTCTATGTGCCAGTTCTTAAGCTGAGTATATACCTAGTTTATGCCACTAAATCTGTGTAAAAGTGGAAAAGATACCATTATTATCTCCCTTTTATAAAGGAGAACACTGAAGATTAGAGAGGCTGAGTATCTTGCTGTTTCCATGAAGGGAAGTTAGAATGATCCTGAGAAACTGAGATCATTAAATAGTTTAGGAGCTGGATTTCCTATCCAGGAACAATGAGGCAAATTAAATCCACAGAGAATGTACAGGTGGAAGATCTGGAAATTGATTGGACATAACCAGTAGTAGCTGCCCAAATTAAGAAAAATTTAAAATACATTAAATTCATGATCAAAAGCAGAGCAAATACATTTGGATTCAGTTACAAGAAGAGGAATACAAAGTCATGCTGGAAAGAAAACTTGGCAATGAGGATTCCAGGTTGAGCTCTTTTACAAACTGGCTGTTTGAGTTTGCCAAGAGATCTATTCTCTCCAGGACTCAGCTCTTCACAGGGGAGTTAGACTAGTGATTTCATAGGCTAATGTGCGAGGATAAGAGTAGAATAGTAATGCTTGAGAATGACTTTATAATAACTCACTATTAACATGCAAAGTAAAATAAAACAGCTTTATAACATATTTATGTTCCACTAATTCAGGTTTCTGAATCACTCATTGATTCCTTCATTGAACAAAGCTCGTTGAATACCTACCATGTGACAGGCACTCAAGCAATAGTGTTGCAGCAGTGAAAAAAATGAAGTCTCATGTTGCTAGTTTATATTCTAGTGAGGGAAAACAGAAAATAAATAAATGATATATACTATGTCAGATGGTGATAAATGCTACAGACAAAATAATAAACAAGGGACATTAATGGTGAAGGGAAATACTCAGTCCCAGTCTCTTTGCTCTTTCTTGAATACACCAGGCCCAGAACTAAATTTGCACCTGCTGATACATATGCCTGGAACACCCTTCCCCCTAAGTATCCTTAAGACTAACTCTCTCTCTTCTTTCAAATTTTTATTCAAAGGGCATCTACTGGATGAGGCCCAAGACAAGGAAAATTCCACCCTTTCCCACTCTGCTATTTTCTTTCCCATAGATCATATCTCCTTCTAACATATGATATAAATTGCTTATCTGTCTGTTTAACGTCTGTCTCTCCTGCCTAGAATGTAAGTTCCAAGAAGGAATGGCTCTTTGTTCTGTTCAAAGATGTATTCCAAAGTCTAGAAAGTTCCCAATAAGATGCAATGCTCGATAAATTGCTTAATAAGCAAATTGATCAATGAATGAATGCATGAATTAGGAGGATGATCTGGAAAGTCTTCTGAGGAGGTGACTAAATAATAAAGGTTGGCATTTAAAAATTGAAACTTAAGGAAAATTGTAATTAAATTGATAGAATATTATGTGGTCTTTAAAAATGATTTTTAAATGATATGTAGTAGGATTACAAAATATCTTGAAAACTACTTATGATATATGGGTAAGTGAAAAACACAGGATGCAAAAATATGCTTATACTCACATTATTATTACAACCACAGAAAAAAGTCTTTAGAAGAAATGTTAGAGAAAAGTAAGCTACAAATACCAGTATATGTTATAGTGATTATTGGTGTTTCTCTTTGTTATTTTTTCTACTTCACAATTTTTTTGTAATGTGTTTATATCAACATTGATATAAAAATTAATTTTTTAAAAAGTTAATCTATATAATGCTACCTCTCATTCATAGGATTTATAAAAGTTTCTTAGTCTTGTTTTGTTTGTATTTACACTTAGAAATTAGACCTTAACAATGCAATAACCTCTGACAAGCAGGGACCCAGAGTTGAAAAGAGCACACCTGCATCACAAATGTTTCTCAGAATGACAAAAGAAGCAGAGAAGGAGGTCTAATCAACTATCATTCCTTCTATAGCAGCATCATACCTATCTGGAGTTTACCTTCCAAGGAAATTGTCTCCAGGGGAAGGAAATACTATCAACTGAACGTGGCTGTCAAGAGAAAAACACGATGCATAAGTGATTGTTAGTAGATACATAGCATTAGGAAGAGGAAATTGCCCAAGACCCTGCTTTATCCTGAGCTTTTGCATTATTTTGGTGATCAAGAGATGGTTGAGGATCAGCAACACATATTCAGAGCCCAAGTATGCAAGAGATGTGTTATTCCACTCACCCCTCAGCATAATTCACTGAGGTAAGAATTATATTAACAAATGTCAAATGACAAGATGAAGAATATAAATAATTTTCCCAGGGTCACACAACTAGATAGGTGGCAAAACTGTAGTTCACAATAGATTCAAAGTGACTCTAAATACACTACTCAAAACTCACATATGGGGGAAGCAAAAACATCTAATATTTCTTGTAAGCTCCCTTTTCAACATACTATGGGCCTCTTAAATGTCATTAATCAAATCTTTTTTTAAATAATGATTTTTGCTTTCAAAATTACCAACTACATTAATAAGACTTCAGCTTCTGAATCTACAGGAGTGTCAGCCTAGGCAACCATGAATTTTATTCCAAAGATTTTCACGGTATTCAGACTGCCCAGGTGTGTGAGTAAAAAACTCATGGTGGGTGAGAGAAGTGCCATATTGGAATAGACGACTTTGCAATGAGTTGGAAACAGATCCTTTGCCTCAGTCCCTGCCCCCTCATGAAACCCACATCAGGAATGGCTCTCAATGAATACAAGTGAGAAGCAAAAGCCTACAGTGAACCTGAGGCTGGAACAAAAACTTGGCATTTGGTCCTCTTTGGTGGACCAGTTAACCAGGTCATGCCCTGAGGTGACTGCTTCTGTTGAATCATGATTATTTGCTAATTTGTCCTTAAATAAATTTCAGGATGGAAAAACAGTCTTTGAAATCAACAATTTAATATTTATAGGTGCACTTTCATGTATGTGCATCCATATGAAGACTAAAATATATGAGCTTTAGCTTAAATATACAGTAAACATACCAGTGAGGAAGAAAAGCACATTGATTTTACTGCTGGATCTGGTGTCTTAGCCAAATTGGAGGCTAATAAAGTAATATGTTCCTGTTTATTTTAAGTGACATTCATAATTCTGATCTAAAACACGTCTCAATGGCATTCATAAGAGAAAAAAATTGTCATAAGTTTCATCTCTTTTTAAGTGACTACTTTAGAGGTCACACAATTACTTCAATTATGTTACAACTGATGCTCCTATAACCTGTTAAAACCAGCAGACATAGTGTCATTAGTGGGCCAGAGGAAGGGGAAAACCACAGAGCCTCATCAGCCGACCTCATTTCTCTGCAATCAGCCCCTTCGTATCCTTGATAACAATGACAGGAAAATTTCTCCGTCATCACTGCCAGGTCATTATCAGATGCTTTTCCTTTCACAATAAATTCCCCATCCTCAGAGGCCTCTATGTGGTAACTTGCAGGGTTCAAATGAAGGTAATCAGGAGCTGTCCACGTCTTCCTTATGCACCCCCATTATTCCTGCAGAGGTGAAAGCGACACACCTCAGCAGCTCTGCTCACGTTGACTATGTAGCTCCCTAAATCAGAACTGACGAACTGCTTCACCTTTGTACAGTTGACCTAGAAACGTAGAAACAAATGGGTGTTAGTGTTTTCCCTGGTACTTACAGGGTTAGAGCTTCTAGGCCCACAAGGCAGCTCTTTGGACTAGATTGAAATCTAATAGCTATATGGCAGGTGGTGAACACTTAGGTTCCTGTTCACAATAACATAGGGGTCCTAGATCAGAAAGAGGAGAGATCTAAGGAACAGGAGATGGAGAGTATGTTAGAGTCAGGCTAACTGACTGAACTTGCAAATGGACCCCAGAGTCAGCATATGAAACCTTGTCTTCCTCCAATTTACACCACCCTTTTTTTCTCCTTCTAGCTCCAAGTTAACAAGTGTGAAAAGGAGAGTAACAAGCCCAAATTAGAAATCGTGCTGAAGCTGCTGTCCTTAGGCCACTTTCAGGTATTTTGTGCCTTTCATGGTTGTTCAGAACCTGAATCATCATATTCCACCAATATTGTGAATGTCAACCTGTAGCCTCCTGGATTTTCCTGTTAATTATGCTCAAACATCAACTGTCCTGGGTCCTACTCTTCTATATACAATTCAAACACAGGATGGCCTTTAAGGATGACTAGGTAATTCACGTGTGTGGCTTCTCTAACGTGTTCTAAACAGAGGTCACCTGGGTTTTGCACCCAACTTCCCAATGAACCTATTCTCATGAGCCACATGGGGACTGGAGTGGAAATGTCACACCTGGAATGTCAAGAATTGATTCTCTCAGTTTCTATCTCATAGGCGGACATAGAAATAAATAGTCATTCATAAATAATCATCTCAGTGGTAACAAATGGAGCCTGGGAAATTCTAAGAATAATATCTGATCATTACAGACTTGCAAAAAATTTAATTTAACAAAAAATACTGAGAATAAGAATACTATGATTCAAGGCAAAATGTGTTACACTGTAGAAATATAAACAAACAACATCTGGAAATACAGAAGAAAATGTGATTCATGAGGATTAGTGAAGACTAGGAGGAATTCCTGGAGTACATAATATCTCAACTGGGAGAAATTTGAAGAGCTATATAAATCTTATTTTAAGTGCTATTAATTTTCAGATAATTTCTCTGTAGAGGAAAAATTGCTTTAATATGGAGATTGAAAATTTACCATCTGCTTCTACTTCTCAAAATGGAATATAACACGTTTTATGTAGTGGCTAAATGCAAGAGCTCCAGCATCAAACTGTCTGTGATTAATGCCTGCTCCACTGCTAACTAGCCTAACTACCTGTTACTCTAGTTAGGTTTCTTCTCTTGTTTCCTCATCTATACATGAGGATGACAGTGACTACCTCATATGACCAGTAAGTGAGCAAATCCAAAACTAAAACTCTCTTAGCACAATCTTAGCACATTGTAAATATTCAACAAATGTCAGTGTTATGATTATTATCTTCACAAAAGATGACAATATTTATTGAGCCTTTTCTATGTACCAGGCAGTTATTTGAACTTTTATTCTAAAGCTGGTTTACAGTGGGGGCTATGAGAGCTTTCATTTGAGTGAGCTCTACAGGGAAACAGAGCAAATACTTTAAAAAAAATTAAATATACCATCAAGGTTCTGACTCATCTTAGATGAAATTAAATTCATATCTCCCAAATAACGATGCCTGTGGCTCCCAAGGCAGCAGTGTCTCCAATGGTACTAATTTAGATCTTGCTAGATTGAAGAGAGTAGAGTTTATGATTAATTTGAATGTAAAACAACACACCGGGGATCAGAATTAGAGGCTAAATTCAGTATAATAGGGCTGGGACTGAGCTCATATAATCCCTAGAGACAGTTCTGCAATTTCTTAGAAGAACACAAATGTTGAATGAACCAAGTCTCAAACTCACACTCTATAAAGACACAAATATTTTTAAAGAAAAACTTACATTTTACCATGCAGGATATCATTTTGAAGACAATTAGGCTGTAAATAGTCAGCAAAAATTGATTAATTGAAGTCACCTAGGGACATATACCCACAAACCGGGTCATATGTATATAAACTAGAAGCAGAATCCGTAAGCTATCCTTCTCCAAAGGCAATCCTTTTAGCCAGGTTCCTTTTCCATTTTGCAACATGCCCCTGAGCAACTTTGCCTCCGCAATGACTCGGATGGATTAGTGTCATTTTGATTCCAAGGCCAGGCGAAGGAACAATGTTAAGGGCTTGCAGGTTCTGATTTGGCTCAGCCTTTATATTTGGTCCCTGAAATTACCTGTGTTTAATTTCTAAGTATCTGACTTAATGGGCTTAGTTTATAACTTATCCAGCCACTGTGATTTTTCCAAGTATGGTTAAGATAGATGAAAACAAGATTTCAGAAGAGGCAATTTTGGTTTTGTAATCTTAAAGGATTGTTGCTTTGGTGTTTAAAGATTAACATGGATCTGTACCACTTCAGAAGGAAATTGAGTTGAATTATGTAGTTGGTTTCCTAGTTTCTCAAGTTATATTTCCCCACATGGTAGGATACTGCAAATTCTCTTTTCACTCCAAGGATGAATTTCCACCAGTTATATGCTGGAATATGTAATTGGGTGATTTGGTACAAAATAAAAGCAAAACTTTAAACTGTGTTTTGCCTACAGCACTTTATATTATGGTCAATACATGAGAGATAAATCTCTTTATCTGACACTTTTACAATCCACCAGTCAAATGAAAGGTTTTACAATTTCACAGTTTTTATTTGTTTGTTTTGTTTTTTTTTCCCCCTGGGCGATTTTCTGTTAATTTTAAAAATGGGCAAAATTTTTGTTTAAACTAATTTCCCTTTCAGGTTCACATTTATTTCCATTCCCCGTGACCACAGTATCTCCTGAACAGGTCAGAGCTGACATGACAGGAGGGAAAGGAAGTTTTGTGAGGCTCAAATGAGATAGTATAAATGAAAAGATTTTGAAAGTTATCAGTAGGATTATAAATAGAGATGAAGGAGGCGCCATCCATGCGGTACTCAGACGGCAATCTCTGCTGGGTCCATATCCATTCTCTCTTTGGCAAAGACATAAGGGAGCAGAATTCCCTGCTTCACTCGCTTTGAAACTTCCCTGAATGCAGTGATGTGATATTCACATGGTATGATCAGAGGGACAGAAATCCCCAACAAACTTCCTTTGAGTTAAGGCATTGTCATCACGGAAGGACAGGGACATAGCATTTACACTTTTTATTTATAGGTTATTGGTCCATATTCAGTAAGTGTGGAAGCTGCAGATGTTTGTGGTAAAAGCCACACCTTCTCAAGTGGATATTAGTTTCTTCTGAATACATCCTTCAGTGTCATTATCAGAGAGAGTTTACTGAGACTGATTAAAAAATGAAATTTTCAAGTACATGTTGACCGAAAATAAGGAGGGAGTAGCCTATATTAATGCAAAGTTCTCACCAAATTAGTTCACTGTCACCTAGCAGACAGCAGGGTGCTAAAAGAATTACAAAGCAACTATGCTTGGGGGATTAGAAAAGGAAGGGCACCAACCAGTGAGGGAAGACACAGATAAGATGCCTCTGGGAGTTAACTGGAACCATTTGAGATCATGAGCCATATGAATGGTGTCACTTGAAAGGAGAAATAAAAGGAACAAAGCAGATGTAGTGAAAACAAACCTTCCAGGTCCCAGTGTGGCATGGGGCCCTTACCTTACACATCATCCCTGGGCTCAAATCAAGGATTCAGAAGTAGAAGGTAGGGACACCCAGAGGACTCATCCTCCACGCTTGGGCTTCAGTCTCTGATGCTTTCCGGAGTGCATGTAAGTAAGGTGCCCACTGTGGGGAGCTGGAGCTTTACTAATGAGCTCCCTTTGTGTGTTACCAGAGAGAACATTAATTAATTACAGGGATGAACATCTTTAAATCTACAGCCAAGGAAACACCTTTCATTATTTTTTTTAAAGCACAGTATCAGGTTATATCTAGGTTGTGTCTATTTGTAGGTGGTGTAGGAAATCTGTGTGAAATGAGGAGTTACTGCCTCCATATTATTTCTCCGAGCTTTGGTTGCTGCCTTGATTACATTCTTAGATATCCCATGTTGAAGTTCAAGGCTTTGATACCTGTTAAAATGTGATGGCCATACCACTAACATTTCCATAGTGTTTCTAGTTTTCATGTGTATTCTCTCACTGGATTTTCATAATACTTCTACTAGGTAAGTAGAGACATAATACTTCTGCTAGGAGAGTAGGTGATACTGTCCCACTTTGTACACTAAGACACTGAGGCACTAAAGTAGATTTGCTACTTACTGGTAAATCTTTTTTCTAATTTTAACTGTACATGTGTGTTTTTTCTAAAATGCAAACATCTAAGGGAAAGTCAGAAATGGAGGTCATTAATAGTCATTTAGAGTTTGGTACAAATGAATATCAGGTTTTTAAAAATTGGGGTGTAGATTTTTATGGTGGATAGGGTACAATGGAGGGTACCCTACTGGTGTAAAACAAATGGAAATAGCTTGCCATTCAGAAAGGAAAAGGATGCAGAATGAGGTGAGACCCAAACTGCTGTTTCTTCTTTCCTGAGAGGGAACAGAAGCATTTCCAAGGCTGTAGTTACTGAAGAAGGAAGCTTAACCCAGGTTTACAGAATGTGCAGAATGTACCAGCCATCTAAACTAATCTTTTGAAATGAACATTTTGTCCCTTAAAGAGTTTATTGTTTCTTTCAAAAGTAAATTTATTATCACTAAAGAAAGGAAATTCCTTGAGCCAAATATAGAAAATGAAATGTTTTATAGAAGGTGGTATTTAACTTTCAGTTCCAGAGTCAAGATTATTTTAAAAGATTTACATAAGTTTTTTAATCCGTCCAGACAGTATCGATCTTCTATCATTCTTCATTCAATTATTTATTGCTGATTTTGGGGGGATAGTATGAATATCAGTTCACAGTAAAGATTTTTGTCTCTTCCTCATCTATGAATGGTGTCAGGGCCATAGCACTCACCCCACTACATACATGCGGCCACTTCTCCCTCTGATGGACACGCTCCACTGTATACACGCTCCGCACATGCCTACTGGTCAGGGGAGAGCCCTCACCTGGGTGTTTCCTAAGCCTCCTCCTCAGGATGTCTAACGCTCAGAACATCTTTGTATTTTAACACGTGCTGGTGAATTTAAATTTGTAATGGTGGAGAAAGAAGAAATGCCTCTATCAAAAGATATTAACTTGTCCATTATCCAGTAATATCTTAAAACACCACTGCATCAAAAATGTGAAGGCCTGAAGAAGTCTCAACTCTTCTCAATGTAGAGAATTTACACATAATTATCCAAATCCAAAGATTAGAGTATCACTTCTTTCTTTAGAAGTTTCTATTTAAATGGCTAGACTTGGGAAGGGAAAAGAAAGGAGAGAAAATCTGACTGAAAGATTTTTTTTTAAAAAACTTATTTTAAAAGTTACCCTCAAGGTTTGTATAAGGTCTTTGGCAGCATATATGACTTGAGTAAAAATAAACAGACAGAATAGAGCTTCTATCTGTAAGTTTCAACCTAGGGTAACAAAACCATCTACTAGTGATTTAACTATTGACGTTTGAAACTCACACCACTCTTAGCAACTTTCTATTAGTTGTGGTCACAGAGACAAGGATGACCAGATGCTAAATCTATAGACTCACCCAATTTAGCAGATTTGCAAGTCCTTCATGCTTTTTAATTTTTTTTTTAAATTTGTAATTGTGGTAAAAAATGGGTAACATAAAATTTACTATCTTAGTCACTTTTCAAGTGTACAGTTCAGTACGTCCACATTATTGTACCTCTTTATACCTTTTATCAAAGTTGGTATTATGCACAGTGAGGTTAAGTTCTATGGTTGTCAAAGGGACCCCTTCTTCTGTGTCTTGGCAGAAACAGAACCCATATATCATTAAATAAGCTGAAATGTCTAGATGCTTTCCCAGCCTTCCCTGCAGCTTGAGTCCTGGCACATGACCTTGGCCATGCCAGATAGATGCATCCTACTCTAGACTTTGAATTGGGATCTTGAGTTTCAAAGAAGCTAAGAGGTGGTGTTGCCAGTGGTAACAGAAATTCCGGTGTCCACAAGAGGCAGCCTGTGGGGGCATTTAGAACCTGATGTCCATGGTGTTACTGATAAGTGACAACATTGTCTTCATGGGACAACACAATTCTGTTCAAGTAATAAAGGTTTTGTTTCAGTTGGGAACAATCAGGAACTCTGACTGATAAAGATTCTTTCAATGGAAATTGCTTATGCGTTATTTCCTCCAGCAAAGCCTGTGTAGGGCAGGTTGCATGTAATTATCGTTTTTAACCACCAGGTGTCACCAGCCAAACCTCATAGCATTTCTCAGGCCTAGAACACCAAAGTAAACAAACATTTTAAGTAATTTATAAAACTTCATTTAAAGACATTTAAGTACTAAGTAAATAGATATACACAAAATATAAGTTTTTAAGCGCTATAGAGGTAAACATTTTGGGAATAAATATTCCCACCATGCACTCTCCACAACATGAACATGAGTAAGATCACCACACATAGTAACAGCAAATGTATTATACTGAGTGTCCAAATTACGGTTTGAAGAGAACAGTATTTTCAAGGGAATCTAATTTTATGAGTACGAAAATAATTGTGGTACTCAAAACTGCCTCTTTGATTTTTTATTATATTTGTGCCTCAGAGTAAGAAAAATGGATTTGCATATGGGTTCTTAATGGGGGTTAGGGAAGATTTTCTTTAAACTTGAAATAAAGTTCTTGTTAGAGAAGACTGAATATGTGTACCAAAAAATCTATTCTGCCAAACACTTCCTGCTTTTCCTTTTATTCAAAACACAGCTTCAAGCTGATTATTGTTTCCCTTCAGTCAGCCCCCTCATCACTGCCACCAAATGTCTTCATTTATTTATTACAAAGTTACCAAGTGATTCTTTTCTCCTATCCTGGATTGCTGTTATTCTCCTTATTCCCCTTAACCGGAGGTGCAATCACTTCTCAGATGGCAGGCACAGCTTCTGGTAAAACGAACGGGTGCACAACAAATACCATCAAAATAAATGAGTAAAATTCTGTTCCACTGTCTTCTGTTTGTTGTCTCAAGTCATGTTGCTAGTACACCCCCGGTCACTCACCTAATTAAACATGGCATTCTGGGAGGAGATCCCTTCATTTGCCACCTCCCCGACCAGTCCCCTGCCCCACCCAGCAATCTCTAGCTGTCTGCTTCTCCTGCCCTCCATCCTTCACCAGGGAACCTCCCCCAGGCCTACCATTCCAAAAGTGCCCTCTGCTTCAGAATTTCTCTAGAGCCCTTCCCCTGACCACACCTGCGCCATCAAAATCCCCACTGCTGAGCTCCACCTGAATCTCCACTAGTTGTAGTAACGTAGCAACCTATGCAACTATCCACACTTGAGTCATAACAACCTTCCTCTCTTTTCTCCCTTCCCCCTCTCATGATCTTCCCAGGAAGATTTGCTACTTTAAACAGATTTCTTTTTTTTTTTTTTTTTGTCTTTTTTCGTGTCCAGCAACGGACTGCAACCCTCAGTGTCGCGCCCGTACCGGACCGGGACCGGCAATGGGATCGCAACCCTCGGCACTGCGCCTGCCCCTCGCTCAGCCAGTGAGCGGGAACCGGTCTGTATGTGGGATCCGAACCCTTGGCGGGAGCGCCACCGCACTTCCCAAGCGGCGCACTGTAGCAGTGCGCCACCGGGCCAGCCCCTAAACAGATTTCTAATTGGTAGAATTTTAGGAAAAGTTGGCAAGACATTGGGGGTGGGAATGAGTGAGTTCAACCTGGACTTGTCCCTTAAATTTTATCATCCAATTAATTCTTAAAGGGAGGTCTGTTCTGGGAAGATAGATGAAGGACCAGTTCCCTTCCTTCAACAGGGAAACTTCTGTGAAGACATTTTGAAGGCCCCTGGACAAATGGTTTGCAGGGAAATGACACATCCATGAAAGCCACAGGATAAAAGGAGGTAGCCTTTTCCTCAGACCCTTCCCCTGAATGGAGGAAGAGCCACAGTGAGGAAGGTTAGATGCTACTACACTGACCTTGACTTTGCAGTTTCAGTTTTATTGCTCCAGTGAGAGGGGAATATGTGAATGCTGCAGAAAGATGGAGTTCACATGGCCCCCTGGACCTCACCTCATTGCTGCTTCCTCTTGCTGAAGGTGAAAGACATTGTGAAGAAAAGATGGAGGGGAGGTGGTTAGAAGCTGGTAGTATTCATAGCTAGGCCATATAGTTTTCCTATTAAACAGAGACAATCTCACAAAATACCAACCTCAGACAAGTTTACTCTCAGAACACAATAAAAGGAGACAAAGGCCACTTTTTAGTTTCTCTAAGCACAGAAAAGAACAAGGTCACTGTATAACCCACAAAATACCAAGCACCCCTCTTTCTAAATGAATGGCTGCTATTCTCTATGCAATTGTAAACATGCCTCAGCTTTCTGACAATATCCGATCTAGAGAAAATGCCCAGTCTTAGATCCTCCCCCAAATCTCCCAACCAATACCTCGACCCTATAATAGATTTTTTCTAACACCCTGTTACTGAGACACCCCATCATTCCACAGGTGTGCACTCCCCCTCCTCACAGCAAGTGATAAACCCAACTCATTTAACTGCAGGTGTGTTCCTGGTGGTCTCTGGGCATTGACACCTGTGTCAAGGCAGAGGCACTTCATGTTCATTTATATATGAAATCAGTAAATTATTGAGCACCTTCTATGTACCAGGCTTCCATTCTGAGTACTGGGAATATGATAGTGAACAGAACAGACAAAAGCCCATGCTGCTCTCTCAGAGCTTAAATTCTTGAAGGGGAAACAGACAATAAACAAGATGACTTAATAAAATATACAGTACATTGGATGGTGATAGTAGCACAGAAAAAGAAATAAAGCAGTGATTCACTTTTAGGTGGGAAATCCTCACTGATCTGAAGGATTAGTGGAATAATCCTGGAGGATGCCTGGGGAAGTGTGAAGAGAAAGCAGGTTCAAAGGCCCTGAGACAGGAGGATGCCTGCCATGTTTGAAGAACTTCAGAGAGGTCAGTGACCAAGTAAAAGGATCCAGAGAGCTAAGAGGAAGAGTCTTGTAGGGCCTTGTAGAGACTCTGGCTCTTAAGCTAAGTGATATGGGAAGGAATTGAAGGTTTTGGGAAGAAGATCTGACCTGGGGTTAGCTGGACTCCTCTGGCTGCTGTGTTGAGGCCAGCCTGAAAAGGAAAAGGCACAAGAGAGAATAAAAGTAGGAACATTGTAAGGAAGCTCTTGAAATATTCCAGACAGAAATGAGAGTGGCTTGAAGCAGTTATTTAGAAAAACAATATTTTTAATAATCGCCACACAGAAAAATGATATTATAAATCAATAAATTAATCTGACTAGTTTTGTTTTGATTTTGGTTGTAGATCTAAACTTTTATTCTCATACACAGTGTGATTTTTTTATATTTAATTTTATTTTTATTTGTACTGATTTTTAAGATTATGATGAATACTTTGGAAAAGATTTTAAGAGCATACACTACCCTCTTAATGTATTGGTGGAAGAGATTGATTTTCCAAACGATAACTCTTCTATTTCTTTTTTTTTTTCATGATATTGTGATTTTTTTTTAAATGTTTAAGATGCAAAGTGTCTGCTCCTAAATCCATATGGGTTTAAAGAGGTATACTGACAGTCATAGTCCCTGAGGAATTCAATAAATGCAATGTTTTGTTTCCAAACCCTCAAGGAATATACTGACCAAAGTGATATTTTATTCCAAATAATAAAAATAGACTTATAAATACTTATCAGAAAGGAAGACAGAGCAGAGCCATAAAGTTCAAAGCTGTATCCTCAATTTTGTAGAATTAATTATTAACCTGCTTTCTAATAAAAACTTATTAGAGCAACAGCCAATAATAGGCATTTATTTTCTTCTGCTGGTGAATTTCTTTTGAGTGGTCTGCAATATTCTGCAACCTGGCTCGAAGTATTTCAGCAGAAGAAACAAAATATTTTAATAGTAGAGGTTTCTCAGTTAAGATTTTTCCATAAATTTTTCTTAAAAACTCTGTTTCTATTGGTTTACAGTATAATTTACTTTATGATGGTATGTCTTTAAGGAACATTATTCATCATTAGTTACTGAATTTTGTTATAACTCTATTTTGTGTTATTATAAAAGCACACTGGCATTTCTCCTTTGGAACGAATTTTAGAACCACTATGCTATTTTTTGGTACAAAATTCCTTCCGGTCTCCTTAAAAATAAGCTTAAATTTTATAAATATACAAAAATGACTATTTCAGTATTACTTGTGCTAATGGAAAATTCACTAGCATTCAATGGGAAAGGCCGCATTGTTTATTAAGCAAGATTATTTGTGTACATTTTTTTAAAAATGCAACCTAAAAGAGAATATGATCATACTTATATAAAAGTATATACTTAGTCTTTGTCAGAAAGTATTTTTTCTCTTTCAGGACTTGAAATTTCTTGCAGCCAAGATCAGCTGCTTTCTTGGGAAAGCACACAAAATCTTAGGACTACATTTTGAATAAAATGTTCCCTCTGTCAACCTGTTTTTAACTAAGCTCCTTAAAATAACATTAAGTTGATTTCAATCTTCAGCTTTTTAATTAAAGTTTTTTAACTAAAATGAAATCTGTGGTCTGGGAAATGTTACTTAAGTCCTTTCAATGTCAGCAGTCAAGATAACTCAAGATACCCTCTCCCCAAAGTATGACCCAAGTATGACTGGGAGAGCTGGGATCTAGTCAGGGTAACCAGACGGTAACTAGGGATGGGGAGCTGAAAGTCAACCTCAGACCTGAGGCCTAGAATAGTATTTAAACAGGATACTTTGATCTGGGTTCTCTAGATCCTAGGTCTGAATATCAGATTATAAGACTGGAATGGAAGGGCAAGTGTTTGAGAGGCCAAATGTTATGGCAAGATCACATTGTCCTGTCTCAGGTAAACATGGTTTAATTTCAAATTCTGCCTCAGTCCTTACAGGAGTGGCTTAGAAACTAGCATTTGCCTGGCTTTGCAAATGGCACCCATCTCTCTGAACAGGTATATATATATTTTAGAAATTTGAGCAAGGGAAAATATTCAGGGGTTGACTCCAACCTGTTTGCAATGAGGAAGGAATACATTTCTAGTGGAAATAGAAGATTAGAAATTTCTATCCAATTACAAATGCATAGAACCTTTGACCTGGAAATTCTGCTTCTACATTATTTATTGCCACATTGCTTGTAATTACCAAGATTAGAAAGAAATGTCCATCATTAAGGAGAGATTAAATGAAGTATGAACTTCTACATGATGGAATACTATGCACTTGTAATAAAGAATAATGTTGCCTCTACATATTGATATGGACATTTGCCAGATATTAAAATATTCCTTAAATTATATATTTGTTTTACATACGTGTCTGTACATATGCTTCAAAGTTTTAAAAAGTAAGATGTGTATAGTATGTTGTCATTTTTCTAAGAAAGGGATATAGATATATGTAATTTGTGTACTGAGGGATATCTCTGGAGAGATACTCAAGAAATGGTGACATTGCTTCCTTCTAGGGGTGAGAACTGAGTGGCTAAGTGAGAGAAATGGGCAGGGGCTGGCTGAGTGAGATTTCTTTGGGAAACAAGTTCTGTTGGGATTTGGTACTATGGTGCTATGGTGGGTAATTAAAACCATTCATTTAATTTTTAAAAATTCATAAGATTCCTTGGAAATACAAAGGCAGATGCAAATTGACTTTGACTATAAGGAATCAGGCATGGTTCCCAAAAGAAGATCACGTCTGAGTGGGAATTTATTACAAACATCATTTTTATAATGTTATTTGTAAACTTTTCTGCAATCTGGCAAAAAAAAGCAGGCTTTTAATAAATAAGAAAAACTTTTTTTTTTAATTGAAGTGAATACCATCAGCTAGAGCTTTAAGTTAATGCTCTATTCTGACAGGTGGGTGAAATGATTCGAAGACTGAAAACAGGTGAAATTGAATGCCAGAAAATTTTAAGAAGCAAAAACAAACAAAAGACCTAATGAAAAACATAGCAGAAAGTTACTCTAAAGGTATGAGCTGTTTCTTCCATCGGGAAGACAATCCCTAAGATCCAAAAAATGCAAGTGGATGGAGGACAAATTATTAGAACAATCAATTAAAATATTGCATTCAGTTAGCAGAACCAGTTAGACCATTCAACTTCTCAGAGTGTGTAGTCTGGCAACCAGAAGAAAAATTTGACCCCAGGACATTTAAATATAGAGAAAGTTTTTCCTCTGTAGGGTCCAGAGTTTGTATATTGGACCAAATACAAAAGCAGAGCTAAAGTGGAAATAGCCAGGTCTCCCCAGTGGGCGTGAAAGGGATATAAAAGGAAAAGCTGCTCAACCCATGAGGGAGTTACACTCCTCTCCCATGGTAATTTTCTCCTTACTTTGATAATTATGGGTTTGTTTGTTTGTTTTACTAACCTGCCTGTTTTCTGTTCACATGCTCCAGATAAAATCTTACTTGTCAACATGCCCCAACCCCTTTCTACAAAGTCTGCAGTCCATCTTCCCATTCAGCACAAGAATCCTGTTGAGTAAATAGACCCAAACAAATGCAGGGGGAAATCCCTGTGACAGGTTTTTCAATCACTCTGGTTCTTCATAAATATAAATGGATGGCCAAGGATTATCGAACATTTCATACAGACCAAAATATGAAAGAGAAGAAACTGACAGAGGGAACAACTGATCCAGGGGGAAAGGAGCAGAATAAAATATATAACAATAAAAAAACCTGTTAATATCCTCAGAGAGATTTAAGAACCTGTTGAACCTACAAACCAAAACAAAGCTAGTATGAAAAAGAAAAGATATACTTACACATATAAAAATAGTTCTTTGAAATTAAAACTGAGTGTCAAAATATGGTGAAGACTGAACTCGTATTCTAGAAAAAAAAGTGAACAAATATATAATACAAAGCAGAAAAGACAATGACTTAAAATATATGAGAGAAAAACAACACAGAGTACAGATATGGAAGAGCCGAGATCTATCTACTAGGAGTTTTTCCATTTGAAAAACCATTTGAAAAATATGAAAAGAAAATTATCCTGAGCCAAAGACAAGTGTCTAAATTGGGAGAGAAAGTCAGAAGGCTTTGTAAGGAATCTCTCCAATATAAAAATAAACATGACACAAATTTACAGAGGACCAGAAAGCATGATTATAACATACTACTTGTGAGATGAAGACATAAGTTTCTTCTGACTAAAAAAATAGGTGCTATAGAGCAATTAGATTTTGGGAAGACCAAGTGTCTGGTCAAAAAGTTAGTGTCCAAATAAAGTGTGCTCTTATCTGTCAACAATTAGTGGGAGATAAGAAACAATGCTGCCCTAGACAGTAGACAAAATTGTCATTTGTCAGGTAACTCAGGACAGAGACAAGCTCTCTTTGCATTTCTAACAGGCACTACCTATCATCCCAGAAGATATGTTTCATTTACTAAAGTGATTTGTGATATTTATAAAATATTTTGCTTGTCGGATGAGCCCTTTATTAATTTACCTTGGAAAACTATCATAAGCAGAGAAATGTACTTTAATTTTTTACCTTTTATTTAAGAAAAAAGAAGAGTGTATCTTTGGACTAGACATAGTTGATGACTTCTCATTTTTATGAGACAATTGACTAAGTATATAGTCTGAAAAATCAAAATTCTGCAAGTCAAAATAAATTACAAAAAAAAAATGAATGTGTTTCATTATGTGTTTTTAACTTGATGGGCTTTTTTTTACAAACTAAAATTTTGAAGAATATAGAAATATGGCAGTTCCTTTTGTTTTAACTTTTTTTACTTGCTTTTAAATTTAAGTTAAAATAAATTTAATAATCTTTTCTTGTTTAATAAAAGTTAAATGACTGTCTGTGGGTAATAGGATTGGAGTGTTTCCTATTTTCTTCTATGTATTTATTATATGTTTTCCCTTTTACCATCATCTACCTCAATCCTTATGTCCAGATTGTTTTGGAGGTACTAAGTTTAAACAATGGCCTGACATGAACCCTACCTTTGATGTATTCAATGATTGTTGGGCAAAATGTCCTATGTCTCTCATTTTATTTTCTTCATACTTAAAATGATAATAATGTTATTAACATTGACTGCTTTACTGGAATTCATTGAATACCAAAACCCTGATGTAATTGTTGAAGAACTCATCATCACTGTAAGGATAGAAGGAGCCATTCTTTTCCACTTATAATGTCATAATATAAACTTTAATAGTTGTAAAAACATTTTGTGCTTGGACACAAGAACTTAATTACTATAATTGTAGCTTAGGTACAGCAGGATGTAAACAAAATAGGGGAACTTATCAAATAGCCTGCAATTTAGCTTATCATGTTTCATTACCTTTTTAACTTTTACTTCTCCCCAAATGAATGCATGAATAATGAATGAACGTACAAACAAATCAATCAAAATAGTAATCTAAGTGCCATCTGCCTATCAAATTTCTAGGTGTATGTCAAGACAGAGTACATATGAAAATGCAATATTTGGAAGGTGTCAGACAAAAAAACTCTTCCCTAAACTAAGAGGGGAAATACCATTTGGGGTATTATAATTTCTCTTGAGTTTTTATGAAAGAAGATGATCTGAATTACAACAAGGTAAGGTCAAGTGACCACATGAGTTGCTGTGCATTGAGAAATGATGAATTACTTAGATAGAGTATACTTTAATAAACCAATAAATTTTTGAAGTGCATCTGTGTGTGTATATTAATTATACACAATATGTAGAATTATTTTGTGTTTTTTAAGCACTCATATAAATGTATATCATGTGGGATGTATTATTTTTTCTGCAACTTGCTTTTAAACTTCACATTTTTGACATTGTTTTTCATGTTGATACATGTAAACCTGGTCTTTTTCTTTTAGCTGCTATTCAGTATTTTATAATATGAATATACTATCCTTTATTTATCCATCAGTTTACAGAAGGTAGAATATAAAAGATCATTATTTACAACCAAATGCCCCAGTCGCTTGTACAAGGATATAGGATACAATGATAATAGGTAGGTCTGTCCTCCCACATGTCTGCCATCAGGTGTTTCATTGATGTGTCCACAACACTGGGCTTTAACAAACACTAGGACACATTCCTAACTGTTAATGATCACACTGTGCTGCTTGGATAGGCAAGCCTAAGTGAGATGATATCGGCTAAGCCAGAAGAGTCTGGCTGGAATCTTGATAAATGCCTGCCTTGACCCATATAGGAAGGACCATGGGAAAATCCTAGTAGGGTCATTAATAATATACATTGAGTTTTCTATTAGCAGTTCAATTATTTTATCAATATCAGCACTGATGCATAATTAAAAACTAATTAATTTACAACAGTGGTGTATTTCTCAATGAGAGGAGGCCTCGGAACTGTGCATCTGTCCAGGAAAGACTTGGGAGGTTCAGGTGGAAAGTCAGAAAGCAGAATAAAGCTCATAATGACCAGTAGTTGAACAAGGTAGCACTTTGGGAAATAGCAACTTCTGAAAATCCTGTGAGCAATATTATTCATTACAGGCACATTCTATCTTGGCCAGCCTCTTACTATATTTAAGAACAAA